CAAAAAAATATTGACAATGAAGAGTAATGTATAAATTAAAATTTTATTCTTGCAAAAAAAATTTGAAACTCCTTTAATGGTTTATTTAGAATATACTTAATGATAAAAAAATAATAATAGTAATTATGGGTTTGAGTTTCAAAGATAGCAAATTTTATTTAATATTTATTGTAATATTTATTATTACTAATGTGTTTTCTGACTCTAGTACAACACGTAATGTAGCTGTTAGTGTAGTAGCAGACAATAAACTTTATATTCTTGGAGGTCAAAGTATAGGATTAGAAATGACAAATTCATTGTTTTATGTGGATTTAACTAGTGATTTCAATGCTATAAATGTGCCATGGGTAGATGGCAATGAAATACCTGTATATAATTCTTGGTCTGTAGGTGCAGTTGGTGGATCCAACAAATTGACAATTTTTTTATTTGGTGGAGTTATGAGAAATTTAATTACTAATAATTTTGATTTCACCAATTTGCTTTATGCATATGATGTAAATACAAAAATTTGGAATGCTCCAAAAACAACTGGTATTACTCCTGTCAATCGCAGAGACAGTAGTGCTGTTGTGGATGGTAATGGAAAAATGTATATTTTTGGTGGACTTACAGATGAATTTACTGGATCTTCTACTGTTCAATATCTCAATGATATGTATGATTTGAATACAGTAGACCTGACTTGGCACCAAGTTCTCTCTAATAATCCACCACCACCAACTTCTGGTCATACTTCAACTTTATTACCTGATGGTAGAATTGTAATTATTGGAGGTGGAGATAATGCTATGACTGACATGTATAAAGTATGCATTATTTTTATATATATACATATAATATATGCATTGTTGAACTATTTCTTTCTTTATTTTATAGATATCAATTTTTGATACAAATAGTTCAATTTGGTCAACTATGGTAAATATTTATTCAATTAAAATATAACATTTGCAAAAAATTTTATGTTTATTTTATTTTTCTTATATGTGGATGAAAATTTAGATAGCCAATGGTCCACCAGCCATCCAACCTCGAAAAGGTCATTCAGCTGTACTTTGTAATTAATTTTTTTAATTTAAAGAAATTTTTTTTTTTTAAAAAAAAATTTTATATACTAAAATTATATATGTATTGTATAGCAAAGGATGGAAAGATAATTATTTATGGTGGTTATGGACTTTCTCTAACCACACCATTTCCTGAGATTTTGGTATTGGATACAACTACAAATCCTTTTCAATGGTCTATACCCAATTTTTCACCTGTTAATCGTGCTCCACCTCTAATGTTGCATATAGCCAATTTAATAGGAAATCAAATGTTAATTTGTTTTGGTAAAAATATTTTTTTTGGAAAAAATTTATATTATTTCAAGCCTAAAATTAATTAATCAAAATAAAAATTATAAATATATAGGAAATGTTACAAATAATTTCACTGATCCACAATTATCTAGTGCAAATACCTATATACTTGATATTAAAGATTTTACTTGGAAAACAAGTTATTCAGCATCTGAGGCAAACTCACCATCATCAACATCAACAACATCAACACCACCATTAACAACATCAACACCATCAACAACATCAACATTATCAACAATATCAACAATATCAACACCCTCAACAACATCAGAAGCATATCCATCACAACCAGAAACATCAACAACATCATTAGTAAACACTGTTCAAATATTAGTGATATTAATTTCAATTTTAGGTGGAATAATGGTGATTGCAATAGTAACATTCATAGTTATAAAATTATATCGAAAGAAAAGGAGATCAGTTCCAAGTGATGATGTTGTAAACATTCCTAGTGAACAACAACTTCAACAATACAGAGGTTCTCAACTTCTTCCTAATCCACCAAGATAATTGTTTAAGTAATAATATTATATATTATTTATTCTAATTAATTTAATAATTTGTCATATGATTATTAATCTGGCCAATCAATGATAAAATAAAACAACTTTCAATGAAACGTTTTATCTACCAAATATTAAAAGTTTAGCTCAGGTCTTCTTGATCCATTTACAGATTTAAGAATAATGCATCAAAAGGAATCAATATAATTAAGAAATGATGTAACACTTTTATATAGGGGTAATTCTATATAAAATTTAATTCAGAAAAACTTAATTATCCTAATTATTCTAATGTGAATGAATACAAAACATAACTAATTTTGATGCACTAATTCTTCATTGGATAAATCTAACTTGTTTTCCTTCTCAAGATTCACACCAATCCTTTAATAATCCTCATCAATTATCACTCTTTCAAATTCCTCTTCATATTCATCCTCAAGGAGGTTCAAATCTGAGAAATGTGGGTTATTTTCCTCATAATTGATGAGAATATTCAATGCTTCATTAGATTCATTAAAAGCTATATCCATTTTGTTTTTCAATTTCTTATATCTTTTGTGTAGATTTTCAAATCTATTGAGATTTAATGCTCTAAAGAAATTATCCAATTGCTCTATTTTTTTTTTTTCATAGCCATTCTTCTATTGTGGCTTCCCTATCATTTATATAAGCATCTCTTTACCATGTGGAATTAACCTGCATGTTGTGAGATCATATCTGAGTATCAAAGATGATTATTTATTTATTTAATACCAATAATGTTAATACAATTTCTCCCAATTTATTTATATATACAACAATTTCCATGAATGTATATTTATGCTTTACTCTCAAAACTATCTTTCACTGTTGATTCCTTGCTAAACAATACTAAACAATATCTTCTTTAGGTTTCACATTATATCCTGATCACGTTTCTTGGTGGGTACCCTTCTTAGCTGTACTCCCTACTCAAGTCAGGTATGTTTCCCAAAACTAATAAATAAAATTCATTAAATATCATCTCACTAAAAAATAATAAAAAATAATAAAAAAGTAGATAGAAATGTAAAATAAGAGAAAATAATTATGCATGGGATTAGTCATTGTTAGAGATAGATTATGAAACTATAAAATTCAAAGACAACAACAAGGTCAAGGTCAAGGATAAGGACAGTTTGTTATTTATTAAATTTTGTTATTTATTAAATGATTATTATGATGATTGATTAATTGGTTGGTTGATACATGAAGTCAAGAAAATTACAATGTTATTTATATATGTTAAAGATTCTATCATCTAGTTCTCCAATTTCTTTGAATCCTAATTTGTTCTAATTAAATACATTATTTGAACTTTCCATATAGAATTATCTTCAAGTTATGAACAAGTAATTTAAATTCCTTTGTTTAAATTTAATCTGGGAATTAAAAGTTAGAATTGTTGTAATTGAAATATTATGGAGTGGGATGAAATTCTGATTGGCTAATTTGAATTTCACATATAATTTCATTTTCATGTACAACAGAATGTTAGAATATTTAGTTCTCCATTGTTTGAAACTCATGGATAAATATTTGACTTCCTTCCAAGTTTCTGGCCTCAAAGGGTCCCTGCTGTCATCAAGAAATTTGATTGCATATTAATGCTTTATCAATATTTGTACATTTTTGTTTTATTTTATATTACTTTTAGAAATATTTAATTCAAAAAGTTTATTAATTCAGAAACTTTATTTTGGTTTTATGACTACCTTGTTATCTATAGCTCCAATTTATTCTGCTGACATTGCTCACTTCATTTGCAGTTGATAACTACTTTTATTTCCACTGTGATTTCCAGTATGGTTTTATACAATGACCAATGTACAGTGTGTCACAGAAAAAATGTCAAAAATAAAAAGTTGAATTGCTCAACAAATACATAAGATAATTAAATAAATTTAGATTCATTTAAAAGCCCATCAATTACTTTGTTAAATAAAAAAAATCAACATGAAATACTATCATCAGTTTTTTTGTAGAGCTGATCTGCATCTTTTTTTTTAAACTTCACTAAACTTGCCTCTTAAATTTAACATGTGATTTTTTAATAATGGTTTTAACACAAAATCATACATAATAATCATACAAAAAAAATCATATCAATTTTTAGCTTAAGTTTTGGAGATTATTCACATGATTCCTTTCTAAAACTTTATCAATTAAAAATGAAATAAAATTGTTTATTTTGAAAAAAAAATTTTAATCTGATCATTGCTCTAAAGCCTATATAATAATATGTTATAAAATTTTTACATATAATAATCCAAGATCTTTTAATTCTCTGGTGTAATTTTCATTTCATTATTTTTGATACTTTTTTATTAAAGCAACTTTGCCAATTTTTTCATGACACACTGTATATCAAATTGGTATAAAATTTGATCTCAGTCCCAGAACCTCATAAGCACACAATAGTTTGCTATTTATAAGGCTAGTAAAGCACCTATGGTAACTATTCCAACAAGCATTGCCAGGATGCTGTAAGGAAATATATTTTTTATAAAGAGATTTTTTTACATAGTTCTCCCATGAAATGTGATAAAATGAAATAATTTTTAGTCTTCTCTGAAGTAAAGATGGAAATCACAATTAGCCACAATTCAAGTTTATATGCCGCAATTAATTGAGGAGCCATTTCTACTCTGAAGCCTCTTTCAAATTCTATTGATTCTCTAAAAAATTCACCTACTACTAAATTGACTTGATGTGCAAAACATGGTAGGAAGGTTATATTTTTGCATTTCACTCTTAAAGTTGATCTAAAAAAATATATTTATTAATGCTTTGAATAAACAAAATATAAATATATAAATTAAATATAAACCAACCTTGTTAATGCAAATCCACTTGCTGAATCAGTGACAATATAAATAAGTTTTAACTCTTTATTATTATTTAACCAGGACTCAATTTGACTTATAGCATTGACCTTTCACCTGAAATATCTACTGCATTCCAAATTACACTTTTTCAGATGTGATTATCAATGATCCTAGAATTGATTGTTTAACAAAACTGTTAGACCAATGCTTTCCTCTATTACCATTTCTTGTAATTTTATTTGTACCATATGTGATTCATCCTCAAGTATTCTTCACTTAAAGATTTTTCTTTTTGGTAAATTTAATCCTTTATTGGCAAAATTTAACATTGCCATTGCTTCACAATTAAATGACCATCCACAAGAAATAGTTGCTCCTAATACCAATCTCTTCCATTGCTTCTGTGAACCTTCTGATAACTTCCTTGGTATGCAAAATTGTATTGTGTTATCTTTAGGATTATTTTCAAATTGAGGAGGCAATTATTGTTTACAATTTTAATCCCTGAAACTTATTACAAATAGATTTAGAAGAACTTGCAACAGATACAGATTGTAATTCATTCACTTCTAAAATATAATTAAAAAAAAAAATTTCAAATTAAAAATAAATCAAATAAATTATTGAAAATAAACATTTAGTTGCCTGAAATTTCACTACCATCATCATCAATGTTAATTATTTTTCTCTTCTTTTTCTTCATCTGTTTTTTGTAAAAATTCATTTAAATCATCACTTGAAAGTTCTGCTTTGAATGATTTCTGCAATTTTTTTTTATTTGTAATTACTTTGACAGAAATTATAGGTTCCAGGTTTTTAATACAAGCTTTACATTTAGCACCATAAATACTTTTATTTACTTTTTTTTGTAATTGTAAAATACAAGGTCCACTAGTGCTTTTCTTTGCCTCCATATATAGTCATTTTTAATTATAATAATAATTATTATAATTATAATTAATCAAAAAGTGAGAAATCTTTCTTTTTGATTGGTGAAAAAGTTTTTTTTTTTGAATAATTATTATAATTGTGAAAAGCTCCCTTTTTTTTTTTTGAATTAATAATATTATGGGTCTGGAACACTTTATAGACACCCACTTTATAGACACCCACTTTACCAACAAGACACTTTACCGACAATCTAAGTAAAGTCGAACTTGACGTAGAAATGGTCTTGCAAGGAACACCACGACTCCCACAGAAACCACAAGATTGTGATCGTGAAATACGGATTCAAACAGTATTAAATGACCGTAACATTAGATCAACTATAAAGTTTCTTCGGGGTATTGCCCATAATATTTCATTTTAAAATTTTTTTTTGTTATTTTTTTAAAAAAATTATTTTTTTGTGTATAGTATATTAATATGTATAAAAATAATTAGTAAAAAAATAACATGAATATGCAATTTTTATCAATTTCGTCAGACAAAAAAAAGTATATATTACACATGTATCTATATTGTATTTTTATGAACTTGTTTTTGATGCAAATTAAGGATAATAAGTGGTGTTATTAGTTAATTAACGGTTGATTTAACTTGTTGTAAAAAACCAAATTTTTAGCTAGTTATCCAGGTCTTCACACAGTCCTTGGCAAATTGTTAACACAATACTTGTCGGTAAAGTGTCCTGTCGGTAAAATGTCTTGTCGGTAAAGTGTCTTGTCGGTAAAGTGTCCTGTCGGTAAGATGCCTTGTCGGTAAAGTGTCTTGTCGGTAAAGTGTCCTGTCGGTAAAGTGTCCGGGTCCGTAATATTATTCTTTGTGAAAAAGTGAAAAAAAATTCCTTTTTTTTTGAATTAGTGTTATCAATTGTAATGTTATTTGTTGAATTGATGATGATTATAATAATGTTATTCTTTTTTCGTATTATTGTTATTATTATTGTTATTATTATTATTATTTATAATTTTTTTCTTTCAATTAAGTTTCGTGAAAAAAAATTTTTTGATGAAATATTTACGCAAAGATGAAAATATTTACACAAGATGAAACAAATCAATGGACAGTCATCATTTTGTGGAATAATATATTAGAAAATTTTCATCAATGCGTCACTCCAATAAAATAAATGGAAGTCCATTAGAAATTTTAAATAACGGCTCCCTTTTTAAAGTTGAATTGAATGGTAGCGGTTTTTTAAAACCCGACATGTGGATTTCAAATTTTTAATTTGAGTATAGACGATCCACACAGTAGTCAAACTTTAATTAATGCAGATGACGGCGTTGATAGTACCAAAAGTTAAACTTGGAGAATTGTTATTAGAGTAACGGCTAATGTAGGAAGTCAATATAAATTTAATAGGATTACTTGGTGTATAACGTAAAGAATTATTTTTTAATAAAATTCTATATTGTCACATCATTATTATGAATTTCAGGAATTTTATAGTAGAGTGTAAAATAAAATAATTAATTAGTGGTCCACCGACAAGTAGTAAAGTTGTATAATTCGTATTACAGACAATATTAATATTTTGTTGTTGTTTGACAACAACAAAGAGCAATGCATAAATTAAAACATTTAATTCTTGCAAACAAAGTTTGAAACTCTTTTTAACTGTTTGTTTAAAATATTTAGAATATCTTAATGATAAAAAATAATAATAGTAATTATGGGTTTGAGTTTCAAAGATAGCAAATTTTATTTAATATTTATTGTAATATTTATTATTACTAGTGTGTTTTCTGACTCTAGTATAACACGTTATGCAGCTGTTAGTGTGATGGTAGATAATAAACTTTACATTCTTGGAGGTGTATGCTTAGAAAAAACAGCAGATTCATTATTTTATGTGGATTTAACCAAAGATTTTGATGCTACAAATGTACCATGGGTAGAAAATGACAAATTACCTATAAGAAATTCTTGGTCTGTAGGTGCAGTTGGTGGATCCAACAAATTGTCAATTTTTTTATTTGGTGGAATTATGATAAATTCAACTAATTATGATTTCACCAATTTGCTTTATGCATATGATGTAAATACAAAAATTTGGAATGCTCCAAAAACAACTGGTATTACTCCTGTCAATCGTATGGGCAGTAGTGCTGTTGTGGATGGTAATGGAAAAATGTATATTTTTGGTGGGGCAACAGTTAGTTCTACTTTTCAATTTCTCAATGATATGTACACTTTGAATACAGTAGACCTGACTTGGCACCAAGTTCTCTCTAATAATCCACCATCACCAACTTCTGATCATACTTCAACTTTATTACCTGATGGTAGAATTATAATTATTGGAGGTGGAGGTAGTGTTTTGACTGACATGTATAAAGTATGCATTATTTTTATATATACATATAGAAAATATTCAGTTTCTTTTTTAAAAGTAAAATAATATATGCATACATTTATTGTTGAACTATTTCTTTATTTTATAGATATCAATTTTTGATACAAATAGTTCAACTTGGTCAACTATGGTA